TTGTATAGTTGTATCTGCTTGTCTGTCTCAAGAGGCTATTACTGTAATCCGATCATTTAATACATTGTTGGAATGCTTTGAAAACTGCAAAGTGCTTTTCATATGTAAGGTAGCTGTATTGTTATCATAACTTTGGTTCTGACTGGAACATAAATAGGCAGCTTTTAAAAATGGATGTGGATGAGCCATAACTGTGTGTCCAACTAGGATGCTGCTTATCCTGGAATGTTTGACTATTGTTTTCATTATTTTCCTCTCGGTGAGCACCACAAACAGGCTTTAATGGTAACAAGTATGTATCTTCAGATCCATAACAAGCCTTTTAGGCAAGATCTTAAAAGAATATGACTTAATTTTTTGTGCCCCACTAAAGAGTCAAATAGGTGGTATGATATCATTTTTAGAGTTAATGTCTTCTATAGAATTTTATATTATTTTCCAGATCAAAGAACTGTTTTGTCCTAAATAGGGCTAACTTATTTCTGTGACCCATTTAGAGGTTCTCCATGAGCTGCCTCAGAGCTTCCAATTTGAGAAGCCCTAAGCTGTGGCTTCCTCAAATGGCTTCTCTTCAAAAGTTTTTGAGATAATGGAAAAAAAGTTGTTACAGATTTCATGAAGTTGAAAGTGAAAACTTAACCATTTGAGACTGCATTTCAAGAATAGTGATGAACTGAGAGTGAGCAGTACCTGAAATAGCTCTTTAGGTGAGATTTGTGGAGGAAGTTAGCCATGTTAGTTTTGCTTGGCCTCCTCCAGAAAGAAATCCTAGTAGTGGGTGTGGTGTTGAGGGAGCAGAGGAAAAGATAGTGAATGCACTCTGGTGTTTTGAGCATTTATATAAATAGGTAGGAGCTCTTGAATCTCTCTTTTTTTCTTCCGTCTCTAAATTTCTTTTTCCCTTCTTTGATATTACTGTATCCACAAATCTAGTATTGTGCTTCTTGATAACATGTTTGCATCTTCCATCCCACTCCTTATTCCTTCAAAGGCCTAAGGAAAAAAAACTTGTCCCCTGGCGCAGTGGAGTCGGATGTGAGAGGAATTACCGGGGTTGATCTTTTTGGAACTACAGATGCGGTGGTGAAGCATGTCCTAGAGGTACTTATCTCTACAGCCAATGGCTGAGTATGGATTTTACTCTGTTTTTTGAGACAAGGTCTCACTATGTAGTTTAGTTTGGCCTTGAAGACACTGTGAAGCCCAGACTGGCCTCAAACTTGCAGAGGTTCTCCTATCTCAGCTTCCGAAGTTCTGGAGTTATAGACAGGTGTCACCATGCCCAGTATTTTTTTCATTTCTTTTGCAAATATTTATTAGAGGTCAGGCACCATTTGAGGCACAGGGAATAGAAATGCGACTAAGCCAACAGAGAAATGCAGCTTGCATGTCACCTGAGGAAGAATCATATCACCTTATGAATCCAGCATGCAAAAAAAGAAAGCTGGGCAGAGGCTCCAACATCATCCCCAAACAGAGCCAATTCTCAAGCTGCATGTAAGGAGGCAGCAGAAACAAATGTAATCTAAATTAACCTAACTCAGTCTTGTGTAAGTAGTTGGTTCATAGTGGGAAAGTAGAAAACATAAGGGAAACAAACTAGTTTTTTCTAAAAGCAAAATATTTACTTTAATCCTCACAGTTGTCCACTGATATATATATATTGTAAACTTCGTTTTACAGATGAAAAACTTAGAATTTAGAGAAAAGAGTTTAACAAAATATATATATATATCCAGTAAATGGAAGAAACTGGGATTTTTAACTTGGTCTAGTTGAGCCTAGAACCCAGGTGCTCCTAATCACACCATGATACCTCAAAAGTACTTCTAAATCAAAACTGTTATAGCCATGATTTTGCCACAGGTTGGAGTACAGCTATGTAAATAGGGTATAGACTGTCTTTCTTTTTTGGGTCTTTTGCCTTTTTATCGGTACCAGGGATAGAACTCACAACTGCCTGCTTGCAAGGCAGGCGCTTATGCCACTGAGCTAAACCTCCAGCCCCTAGACTGTTTTTTTAATTACATACTTCAGTGCTAATATTTTGGATATATTACTTTACATAAAATATATAATTTTTTTTTTTTTTTTTTGTGGTACTGGGGATTGAACTCATGACCTAATGCTTGACATGCAGGCACTTATGCCGCTGAGCTAAATCCCCAGCCCAATTAATTTATATTTTATAATATATAATCTTTTACTTTTATTAATGTGGCTACTAGAGAGTTAAGAATTACTAGGTGACTTGCAGGGTTCTGTTGTTTCAGGGTTCTTCATAGCAATTACTGAGCACAGGCTGGTACCATTATTGGGGTGCACAGCAGCTGTAACACAGCTTGTTTTGGCTGCTTGTGGTTTAGCAGGCATGTCTGAAGCAAAATAAAGTGTTTTCCTCCCTCTCTCTGAAGTAAGGTCTCACAGGAGGAGTAGCAGTTCTGTGGTTCTGAGGGGATGAAATGTTCCCTGAAGGTCTCAGCCCATCAGAGGTGAATGTAGGGTGCATTCCCCAGCCCTCAGCCTGCAGGGCTATGTGATCACCTCCAGCAGTACCCACAGCCCTGTTTGTTCACTTAGTGGCCAGTGACCTTGACCAGATGACTGAGCCTCAGCATCAATACCTAACCTGACAACAGTGGTTGCTCTTTCACAGCATCCTGTGAGGCAATGATATGTTAAAATCAGCATTTGAACTTTTTGTTCTGAAGATCTCTTTATATCCTTAAAATTTATTGAGGACCCCAAAGAGGTTTTGTTTATGTGGGCTAATTTTAACCATATTTGACATATTAAAACAGAAACCTTTTTTTTCCCTGTGCTGGGCCCTGCACATGTTGAGCATGTGCTCCTCCACTGAACTGTACCCCTAGCCTAAAGTCCAAACTGTTTCAGAACTTATTCCATTAGCCATCAGAGCAGTGACATGATCATCCTTCCCATAGCACGGAATAACTCCACTTGAGAAATAAAAAGAATGAGAAAGCAAAGTCAAGTCAAAAACAAGGCAAACTATCCTAAGTGCATGTGAAGGTGAACGGCGAGATAGAAGTATTTGGGAATTCCCATGAGAATTTGAAGGTTAATTGGCTGTATTAACATGGTAATTCTAATGTTCAGAACTTTACAGTGGTAAAGTCCCTTGAGTCTTAGTATGTAAAGAGTAAATCAGACATCTTTTATAACCAGCAGCATGGTTCATTTGTTTCCTTTGAGTAATGATTATAGAGCTGTTTTAGAAGAGCCACTCCTTTTATTTTCTTTTTAAACAGGGTCATGATCGTGGTGTAAACTGGGCTGCCTTCCACCCTACTATGCCCCTTATTGTATCTGGGGCAGATGACCGTCAAGTAAAGATCTGGCGCATGAATGGTGAGTGAACCAGTGACAGTATCACCCTAAGAAACTGATGATTCACCAATAAGGGAAAGTAGCCAGATTTGTTGTACTTTGTATCTAATTTACTACTATAGATGATTATCATATGCTACTCCTGGGAGTGTGGAAATCCTGTTTTTCTTGATACTTTCCTGATTTTGAGGATGAACATAGTTAAGAGTACGAATTAATCCATTCACTTGACAAATATGTATTGGAAATCTACTTTGTATGATGCTGACCAAAACAGATAAAGCCTCTGTTTTAAGTAGTTTATATTTTTTCTAAAATGACCTCTAGCACAATAGATGCTATTAGGCCAAGCATGGTGGTACACACCTGTAATCCAGCACTCAGCAGGGTGAAACTGGAAGATTATTATAAGTTTGAGCCCAGCCTGGGCTACAAAGTAAGCTCAAGATCAGCCTAAACTGCATAGCAAGACCTTGTCTCAAAAAGACTTCCCCCCCCAAAAAAATGCTATTAGATTAAATAAAACAGCATAAAAGCATGAAGAATGATGGAGTAGAGGATTATAACTGATAACAAAATTTAGAATGAAAGAACAAAGACTTATGTAAAGATTACTTACTAACCAGGTGTAGTGGTACATCCCTCTCATAGCACTCAAGAGGCTGCGGCAAAAAAGATTAAATAGGGCTGAGAATTTAAATAGGGCTGAGAATTTAGTTTAGTGCAAAGGCTTTGGGTTCAATCCCTAATACCACACATACAAGAATGTCGATGTCCGCTCCTGGCCGGCGGAAGGACACACGACAAAGTCTGGTAGTGGACAACCTTTTCTTTTTATTCTTCTTCTCCGTACAGCCTGCCCTGGGGCCACTCCCAGCTGAAGCCTCCTTTGGTCCGCTCCCCGCGGCTCCTTTTGTGCTTCAGTCTGCCCCGAAGCCTCTATCGGTCCGCTCTCCGCGGCTCCTTCTGGGCTTCTACTTCCGGGCTTCTACCTGGCTTCTACCTGGCTTCTACCTGGCTTCTACTTCCTCCCAGGGGTGGCACCGGTATATATACGGATACAGTGTCCAATCATGTTAAAGTAAGCAAGGCAAGCTGATTGGCTAACATCATCAGTTGCTAGGCAGACTATATTGTTGAGCGGGTTGTTTACGCGGTAAGCAGGAAACTAGCATATTCGATGGGAGGGGTAATCTACCTCAGGCCTCACTCTTTACTACAGGCCTCACGTCCGCCAAGTGAGGCGACCGGGCTCGGGGCTGCGGCTCCCAACATCTCCCCCTTTTTTATTTTTTATAAATGTGCGCATCGTAGCCCTTCCTGGACTGGGTGCAGAGGCTTATGCCCTATGCGTAGGCCCACCGTAGGTCCTTGGCTTAGACCCTGGTCGGCCGTCCCATGGTCTGCCAAGGCCCTGAGGCCCTCGTCCTTTTTCTAGGGCCAGGCACAAACTGGACGGAACCTGGATGCACACAAGCTTGCACTCATTTCCTCTCCGTAAAGAAATCCCCTCGGAGAGAAATTTAGACCTGGGCAGCATCTAACAGTCCAGCGGCTTACGTGCAGGATGGGGTAGGGCCTGGCTTAGGTCGAGTCGTGCTGGGGAGGCACGCTCTTACCCGTCATTGACTCATCTACCCTGCTGTGTATTGTCACCTTATGGAGGAGAATGAAGGATGCCCGCCATATCTAGACTCGGTCGTGGGCCAATCGAGCAAGCCATGCATATGCCTGAGGATCTTTTTGTCCATTTCGGGCTACCGCTATTTCTATTCATCTTGTTGGTTGGTCTGTGATGGATCTCCAGTAGGGCAGGTCTGATCTTCAGTCGAGGGCTTTGTTGCCCGTGTCAGTCTCTCCGGTATCCACAGTGGTTCTCGTCCCGGTTCCTGTGGGAAAACACAAATCGCGCCTCGGTTCCAGCTGACCACTGGATCCGGGCCCATCCATTGTCCTGTCAGGACATCTTTCCACTTCACCCACCCTTTATGGTTGGGGGAAGGGTTGCAGTGCTCCACAGCTGGGGAGCGATTATCATTATTTAAATTTAAAAAATTGTGTGTGAATAGTGCCATGGATAATCGTGCCTTTGGGGCCAGGCCTTGGCCTACTCCCCCTTTTTGTTTTTGTAAAATTTCTTTGAGGCTTCTATGAGCCCTCTCAATGATTCCTTGACCTTGGGGATTGTATGGGATACCATGTTTTAATTGAACCTCCATCATTTTGCAGAACTCATTGAAAGCTTTGCCTATATAGGCTGGTCCATTATCAGTTTTTAATATCTTTGGTTTGCCCCATGCGGCCCAAGCCGCCAGGCAATGATTGATCACATTAGACACTTTTTCACCTGTTTCTGCTGTTGCAAATATGACGCGAGAACAGGTGTCTGTGGAAACATGAACATATTTAAGAGTCCCAAACTCCTGTATATGTGTGATGTCCATCTGCCAAACATCACCAGGGATCAAACCTCGAGGGTTTACTCCCCCTTTTTGTTTTTTATTTTTTATTTTTATCTTTTTCGTTTTTTTTTTTTTTTTTTTTTTTTTTTTTTTTTTTTTTTTTTTTTTATTGGTACCAGGGATCGAACTAACAACTGCACACTTGCAAGGCAGGCGCTTAAGCCGCTGAGCTAAATCCCCAGCCCCCTTTTTCCTCGACCGGCGTTTTTCTCAGCCTGCTCGGCAGAGAACTCTGTGTACCAGGCTCGCCAATCCAGGTAACTGCCCGAGGGCAGACAGGCCTTTGCCAGCTGAATCCAGTCCGCGGGGGTGAGGGGCCCAGAAGACAGATTCTCCAGCATGGCAATGGTGTAAGGCGCAGTCGGCCCAAAGGTTGTAACTGCATTTTTAAGTTCTCTAATCTGCTTTATCTCAAAAGGCTCCCGTACATTGCGTCCCTGGCCCATAGCTACTTGTACAGGAAATATCCCATAGGGGTCACTATCCATCCCAGGTGGTGGATGTACCTCATGAAACAAGCGTCTCCCCTGCCAAAGCCACCTGTGAAAATACCGATCCGCCGGCGGCGGAGCATAAAACAACGGCCGTGATTGGGCGGAAAATGGGGGCCCGTGCATCACTTCCTGTTCTGGCGAAGAGGAAGGGAGCTCCCGGGCGGCCGCCCCGCGGCGAGGGATCGCCTCCGGAAACGGCCCCCAAGGTGGGGCGGAAGGCTTCGCCTCCCTCTCGCGCCGGGGCGCACTCAGGAGCTCTCTACTCTTCCGCAGACCCGACTCCTTATGGAGCGACTTAGGCTCCTGACAGCTAGTCTCTTTGGCCTCCCTGCCATTCAACTTTCCCTCGTCCTCGGAGTCAGACGACTCCGAGGCTAGAGCCCCGTCCTCCTCCTTAGCATCCTTGTTCCCCTTGACAGACACCTCTCGGGAGCTCCCTGACTGGGCCTGCTCAGATACCCTGCATACTTTTGTAAGCTCTTGAGAGCTTTCTCCACAACCACCCTCGCTCTTAGTGCCGCTACCTAGCATGTTTCCCATTTTTTAATATGTTACTCACCGCGTGAGGCCCAAGGAATCCGCCACTTACGCGTGAGCCTGAGGGGAGTCTAAAAGCCCTGTAGGTGCGCGCCACCCAGAGCCCAGGCTTATCCCCAACTCACCTGTCTCGCAGCTCTGTACTGGAGCGTTGTCCACTTCCACGTCTCGGGGGTGATCAGTCCCCGGGCGGGCCTCCAAATGTCGATGTCCGCTCCTGGCCGGCGGAAGGACACACGACAAAGTCTGGTAGTGGACAACCTTTTCTTTTTATTCTTCTTCTCCGTACAGCCTGCCCTGGGGCCACTCCCAGCTGAAGCCTCCTTTGGTCCGCTCCCCGCGGCTCCTTTTGTGCTTCAGTCTGCCCCGAAGCCTCTATCGGTCCGCTCTCCGCGGCTCCTTCTGGGCTTCTACTTCCGGGCTTCTACCTGGCTTCTACCTGGCTTCTACCTGGCTTCTACTTCCTCCCAGGGGTGGCACCGGTATATATACGGATACAGTGTCCAATCATGTTAAAGTAAGCAAGGCAAGCTGATTGGCTAACATCATCAGTTGCTAGGCAGACTATATTGTTGAGCGGGTTGTTTACGCGGTAAGCAGGAAACTAGCATATTCGATGGGAGGGGTAATCTACCTCAGGCCTCACTCTTTACTACAGGCCTCACGTCCGCCAAGTGAGGCGACCGGGCTCGGGGCTGCGGCTCCCAACACAAGAAGATAGAGATAGAGAAAGGGAGTGGGAGAGAGGAGAAAGAGCAGAAGGAGGAGGAGAGACATTGAGATTTAAATAAATAAAATTGTTTTGTTATGGCCCTGGGTGTATAGTTAGTTCATTGTTAAAGCATATGCCTCGCATGCAAGACGCCCTATTGTCAGTCCTCCGTATCATCAAAAAAAAAAGCCTTGCAAGCAGGCAGTCGTTCGATCCCTGGTACCGATAAAAAGGAAAAAGACCAAAAAAAAAAAAAAAAAAAAAAAGAAAAGAAAGAGAAAAGAAAATTGCTCTATTAAAAAGAGTTGCTGGTGCCACCCATGGTGACTCACACCTGTAATCCCAGCACTCAGAAGATTGAAGCAGGAGGATCGTTGTGAGTTTGAGACAAGCCTGGACTACAAAGGCCAGCCTAAACTGCATAGTGAGACCCTGTCTCAAAAAAACCACCACCAAAAAAAAAAAGTTTCTGATTTAGTATTGTGTAGTAGTATCTGACACTTGATTGAGAGACTGTCATAACCAAATCCAAAACTTAGAGTAATAGGAATTTGTGATACTTAATTCTTTTTGTCCTTCAGAGTCAAAGGCATGGGAGGTTGACACTTGTCGTGGCCATTACAACAATGTATCTTGTGCTGTCTTCCACCCTCGCCAAGAGTTGATCCTCAGCAATTCTGAAGACAAGAGCATTCGAGTCTGGGATATGTCTAAGCGGTAAGGGAGTTATCAGTGTTGTGTGACCAAACCCTAGGGAAAGCCCCTTTTTCTCTCCCTTCTCTCTTTTTCAGAATCGGATTTGAGTACTTCTTTTTATCTCTTATAGTAATCTTCAGTATGTAGAAAAGTCAGACCATCCAATATGTATTTATTTTCTACCAGCTAGAAAACTCTGGGTGTTTTACTTTTTCTTGTTGCTGAGACAAAACCCAGCATTCAGAGTTAAAGGAGGAGGTTTATTTGGCTCATAGTTTGTAGAAGTTTCAATTTAGTTGGCTCCAAGGCAAGCTGGCATGGCATGGTTAAAGGATATCACAGAGGAGAAACAGTCCACAGCAAGCAGGCAGGCAGGAGCAGCAAGCCACTAGTCCAAGCAGTGTCTTTCAGCCCCTTTTATATTTGCTGTAGGCTTCCAGGCTTAGGGCAGATGCCAAACCAATCAGTGGACTGATTTAGTAATCACACACCCTTAATCCCAGCATCACACACCCCAGATCCAGCTGCCTCTGAAAAAGCCCCCATCTATGACTGCATGAGGCCTTGGGGAAACATCTAGATATAAGCCAAAGTACTGTGTGTATTTTTTTTTTCCTCTAAATTTAAACACATTCTTCTCCCTTTTCCCAGTTCTATGGCTATAAAAGAGATATAGAATGAAAGCAGAACAGCATAAAATTATGATGAATGGGGGAAATTGAAATATCAAAATAATAGAATCTTAAGAGTTTCCTTTCTGTCCCTTGGTAGATTTTATTATATCTTGCTGTATACCTTTAATTATGATATGCCGTTTATTCTCTTTGATTTACTTTTTAAAATCAGCTTTCAAGCTTATCATTCAAAATCTTTGTTCCTAGAAGATTTCTACGTAATTAATATTTTTCTTTTCTAGGACTGGGGTTCAGACCTTCCGCAGGGACCATGATCGTTTCTGGGTCTTGGCTGCCCACCCCAACCTTAACCTCTTTGCAGCAGGTAAGGACTGTTCATCTTTCTTGTTTTTTTTTTTATAAGTTTCAAGAATGATTATTCCAGCTGGGCATGGTGGTACATGCCTGTAATCCCAGCACTTGGGAGGCTGAGGCAGGAAGGTTGTTGTGAATTAAAGACCAGCCTGGGCTACAAAGTGAATTTAAGGCCAACTGGAACTGCATAGCAAGACCTGTCTAAAAAAAAAAAAAAAAAAAAAGATTATTTGTTAGCTTTGTCTCCTATAAATGCATGGTAGGGTAACAAAGAGGTAGAATTTTCCAGAGCCACTTAGTTTATGTTTTTCTGCTTTTTGTTTCCCCTTTTACTTCCTGAATAGTATCGTTAGGGCTCTCTCTCTACCAGAATCCACATAGTCTGTTCTTTTAAATTAGCTTCTAGAAGCACGTAAGAGGCTAATGCTAGATACTTAGATCTAGATCTTCTAGAAGCACATACGAGGCTAATACTAGATACTTCTCTTATTGAAGGGAAGTAAAAAGAATTAACGTGTTGTGAACATGTATCAGCTCCTCGCAATGAATATAATCATGTACTGCAAACACATACTAATAAAAGTTAAAAAATAAAATAGGGAGGGCTGGGGATTTAGCTTAGTGGCATAAGCGCCTGCTTTAAAAGCAGGCAGTCATGAGTTCGATCCCTGGTACCAATAAAAACGAAAAAGACAAAAAAAAAAAAAAAAAATAGGGAAAAGAAGAACAAAAAAGAGATAGACTGATAAGCCAGAAGTTAAGTTTTAGTCATTCTTTGACAAATACTTAATGAGTCCCAGCCCCTATTCTGAGTGCCCATAGTTAAGCAGTACATAAGAGAAGTATCTCCCTTAATGGCACTTTTATTTGTGGTTAAGAGAGATAGACCATAAATAGTAAATATATAAAATGTGTGGTGAAAAATGCTTTGAGGAAAAATTAAAAGAAAAAATATAGGGATAGGGGCTGGGGATTTAGCTCAGCAGCATAAGCACCTGCCTTGCAAGCAGGCGGTCATGAGTTCGATCCCCGGTACCAATTAAAAAAAAAAAAAAATATATATATATGTATGTATATATATATGTATGTATGTGTGTATATATATATATATATAAAACCATAGAGCCAGGCATGGTGGTGCACATGTATAATCCCAGCACTTGGAAAGCTGAGCTAGGAGAATCACTTGTGAGTTCAAGGCCAGCCTAAACTCCATAAGCAAGTTCAAGGCCAGTCTGTATTACTCCCTATTACTTAGGGAGATTCTGTCTCAAAGAAAGGCAAAATACCTCATATTGAGTACTTTATAAAGAAACTATGTATTTAGTTCATTGTATTGGAGGCTAAAAGTCCAAGATTTGGTACCCCCAACTGTTTGTTCCCCTGCAAAAACCTATTGGCTCTGTCACAACCTAACAGATAGTATCAGGGAAGGAGAGCACACAAGCGGAAGATCACTTGGCCAGACAGGAAGCCAGAGAAGATGCTGAATAACTCTCCGATGACCTCATCATGTCCCTGTAGCCTTTGCCACCCATTTTAAAAACTCTGCCACCTCAGCACTGCACATCAGACCAAGCTTCCAACACACAAACTCTTGAGGGGCAAGCTGTACCCAAACCATAGCAGGTGTCTTGTCTTTGATTTTAGTCTATCTATATAATCCTCATCCTGTCTGTTCCTATTTCTGGCTTTCTTTTTTGTCTGTAGCCAGTTCTTTCCTTTCTTCCCTTATCCTTCAGGCCATGATGGTGGCATGATTGTGTTTAAATTGGAACGAGAACGGCCAGCCTATGCTGTTCATGGCAATATGCTGCATTATGTCAAGGACCGATTCTTACGTCAGCTGGATTTCAACAGCTCCAAAGATGTAGCTGTAATGCAGTTGCGGAGGTAAGTTTGGATTGTTTTTTCTTTTTTAAAACCTTTCAGCTGTCACCATGATACATTCACCCATGAATAGGATTCCTGTTAAGCAGCCTTTTGGGCCAGGCATGCTGGCGCATTCTTGTAATCCCAGCACTTGGGAGGCTGAGGCAGGAGAGTCGTTTGCAATTTGAGATCAGCTTAGGCTACAAAATGAGCCAAGGCCAGCCTGATCTGAGTAGTGAGACCCTGTCTTTAAAAGACAAAACCCAAAACAAAACAAAACAAAAAAACAGCCTTTTGGAGCTCATCTCCGGACACGGGTGGAATCCCCATTGGTAATCTGCTCAATTTAATGCTCCTGAGTAAACTGGGAGTTCTGACAACCCTGGGATGGGAGGAGTTAACACTGCTACAGTTTGCCAGGTCTTTTGCAAAGCAAAGGAAGTTCCTTGGTAAAGAGTTGTCTAACTTGGTCATGGGCATTTTTGTTATTTATTTGACATTTCTCCCTTGAGGGAAGAACTCATAGTTTAGTGGATGATAGACCCAAATGATTGTAGTACCGGGTGATAAATACTGTGGCAGAGGTTTGTACAAGAGTTGCAGTTTTTTGTAATTCTTTGCTTTCCAGCAAAATGCACACAATCCTAAACTAGAATATATGTCTCTGGAAACTCTTAACTCTGAAGATATGATAACCTCTGGGATGCCTGGCAAAAAGAACTGTCCTTTTGGAAAACCAGCTGCATCAGCATGCTGAAACATTCATGGTGGCAAACATTGGCATGTGGGTTGATAACCACCCTCTAGCATTACAACAGTAAAATGATGGGTTTGTGCAAACAATCCCAGGGACAAGAGAAACCAGCCAGAGACAGATCACATCATGTTACTCTGTGGTGTCCACTGCAGTTATGTGT